CTGGGGGCAAATGTCTGGGATCTCAGCCTCAGCTCTCCTGGGAGTGAGGGCATGGGCTGGGGGTCCCAGGATCTCATTGGTCTGCTGCCTGCTCAGCCAGTCAGGGCCGATGCCCTTCCATCCCTCACCATCCCAGCCGACCTCAGAAGCCCTCCGTGCTGCCCAAACCTTGCCTACACCTGTGTCTCTTCATCCTCCGCAGCTCAGGTGACCTAGAGGCTGCTGTGAGGGGCTCTGAAATCTGCCCTCACTGCAGCCGAATGAGCGGAGTCCAAACTGGGGGCAGTCCAAACTGAGCTGCCTCGTTTCTGAGCCTCTGGAGAGGGAGGGGTGCCTGTCCACAGAGTGGGGAGCAGGTACAGGAGGAGAGTGGAACAAGATATTCCAAGGAGGGACAACTTTCTGAGCAGGCCACTTTAAGTGACTTTACAACTATAAAGAATGCTAAACATACAAGTTTCAATCTGGACCCAAATTACTATGGTGTTTTGGGTGTGAATGATTTTCCATTACTTCAACACAGAGGGATCACGACACAGCTGTGGGGGTGGAACAAAGGGGTCTTCAGGGACAGTTGAGCCAAGGTTATCCGGAGAGCTGGGGTACCTGAAAAGCACATCGCATGAGAGGGTCACCTCCTCGCTGTGGAGACCCCCTCTTTACCACCCCCTCCCTGCCTCTGCCCCAGTCACTCAGCTTATCTCAACTTCCTCTGTCCAGTTGCTGCCTCAACGCTCCTGAGCCCCAGGCCGTCCTCTCTCAGCACAGGCTCTGTATCCCCGGCCATGCCCTCTGAGGAAGCACCTCGAGGACCGTGTTTGCCCTCCATCTGGTGCCCAGCACAGTGCCAGGCAGGCGGATAGTAGGTGCTCACCACCTTTTTTTTGTCTGATAAATGAACATCTGAATCCAAACGTAAACGCTTAAAATGGTCCTGCCTGTTCTCTTCCTCCACGCCAGGTGCCCCCTACCCCCTGCCCGAGCCCCAGTACCTGGGCTGAAGCAGCAGCGGTCACTCCCACAGGAAGCGCACATACCAGATGGTCTCATTCTTCAGCTGTGGCCCAAACAGAGGGTTCAGCTGGGCCAGGATGGCGATGAGCCAGCTGCCAGGGACAGCACATTGAGGGTGAGCTGGGACACAGCAGGAACCTCCCAGGTATGTCTCCTGCGAGGCTTGTGGTCACATGACCCACCCAAACACCAGCTGCAGGGTCTGTGAGGGGCCCACAGAGCCACCCACACTCCAGCCGGCAGGTCGGCTGGGTCTGGGGTTCGTGGGTTTTGGTTTAGATTAGGTTTGATTTGATGTTCTGTAGATTTATTAGGTCTCTGAGTTGAGGCTGGACTCTGGGGTGAGGGAAGAGGTAAGACAGCCTCCTGGGCTCATCGGAAGTAATTCCAGCTGTGCCCCATACATCCCTGGTGCGGGCCACTCCGGTCTGCACCTGGGAGCAGGGCAGGGTTGTTCTGATGGGAGGCATGTCAGAATCACCCCCTTTCAGGAACAAGATGAAGAAACTACCCCAACATGAGGAAGTGGACCAGAAAGCCCCACTCCCAGGCCTGATGAGGATAGGACAGGGTCTGTCTCTCAGGCCAGTGAGCTTTCCAGCGACCACAGGCTGCACAGATGGGGGCGGGGGTGTCAGGCCCTATCATCATGACATCGTTTGCCCACGGAAGCAGGCTCCAAAGACCCTGGAAGTGCGTGACTTCGCATGCCTCAAATGCTGGTGCCAATGGGGCTCGGTCTGGTTTTGTAGGAAGGACCCAGCTCTTCCATCTCTGAATCCCCACGGCAGCCAATCACCTGCCTGCTGCCCGGGACACGGTCAGAAGTGGTTGCCCGCTTATCATTGGCGTTACCCCAAGTTTATGTTTTGTAAATATAATTTCTAGGCATGGCATTTGCTGAAGTTGCCCCACCTTTCTGCCCATGTGCATCTGATCTGCAGCCCAGGTTACCTTCCCTTATGCTGATGTGGTGTTCGCAATTACCCACACGCTGCCTATGTTCTGTCTCCCACCTTCCCAGTCACTATCCTCTGTCCTGGTCTCTGAGCCTTCAAACCTCAGCCCCTTACGGGCCCTCCCTGGGAGAGATGGGGACATCTGTCCAGCCCTAAAAGACCAAGAAACAGCACAGAGAAAGGGCCTCAGAGATGCTCTGTCCAGGGAGAATTCTGGAAAACCATATGCCTCATGTATTTAAACTAACATCTGAAAGTCGTCATTATTTTTTTTAACAGGTTTTATTTTTTTGTTAATAGGAAGTAGAAATATTAAACATTATATAAAGTGAAATTAGAATCGACTCATAGGAATAACTAGCTCATGATCTCATCAGACAAAACAGGTTTTAACTATGTAACAGGCACCAAATCTGAAATCAATCAAGCAAATTTTTTAAAATGTGGGTATTAACCTATGCATTTGAAAAATTTGGCAGTCCTAAGAAATATCCTAGTTACTTTGAAAAGAATCAGCTACCTTTTAAAGAATCAGCATTTTATCATGCTACTGTCCTACCCTGAACACCCAACTACACCAGTCTTAACCCAAAAAATAGTGTATGAGACCCAGGAAGATGGGAAGCCACAGAGGCCTCACTGGGCTTGACTGATAATGACAGGCCTCCCTAACACCAGAACGTGGACTTACTCCTCGGTTTGGCAGCCAGGATGATTTAAACACGAAGCAAGGAAATACAAAAGGATTGGAGAGGTGGGGAGGGGCTCTCATGAACAGCAGTTTTAGAAAGAGACCATCTAGGCCAGTGATGGCGAACCTATGACACGCGTGTCAGAGGTGACACGCGAACTCATTTTTTTGGTTGATTTTTCTTTGTTAAATGGCATTTAAATATATAAAATAAATATCAAAAATATAAATCTTTGTTTTACTATGGTTGCAAATATCAAAAAATTTCTATATGTGACACGGCACCAGAGTTAAGTTAGGGTTATGATGCCGAGCTCAAAAGGTTCGCCATCACTGATCTAGGCGTTGAGGACCTGGAAATTGATTCCCTTGAACTGTCCAGGTTCTCTTTTTTTTTTTTTTTTGTCCAGGTTCTCAAATCCCTCAGATGCTCTTCGATGTCCCCAGGGACCCCTTTCCAGGTTTGGAGACTGCATCTGGTGGCTCTAACTGGCTGTATCACAACCACCCAGGGACGTGCATTATAAATTCGGGTTCCCAAGTGCAGACCTTGAGCGCTGCGATGTAGTGGGTCTCGGGTGCAGCCCTCAGAGCCGTATTTCACAGTCTCTCCAGGTGATTCTGATGCCAAGTTGGGCATGAAAAGCACGGAGCTGGCCCAGCTCATTTCACACATGAGAAAGCCGCAGCCCGTGGACACTACAAAGCTTGTCCGGGTGACACATTTAGACCCAGAACCGGAGTTCATGACTTCCAGCCTATCGCTCTCTTTGCCATTCCAAACCACCTCCTTTCCTGTGTTTTACAGATCCAGCCTTTCACTACCCGGACAGAGGGGAGGGGAGGGGGAGGGGAGGAGAAAGGCACTGGCTGATCTTGAGCTGGGGAGAGAGGTACTTACAAGAGGTAACAGCAGACAGCAGTGGCTACCAGCATGGTGATGATCACTCTGCAATGGAAGAGGATGTCAGGTCAGGCCCCGGGATGGATCCAGTGCCCTCAGAAGGCCTGGCCAGGGCCAGAGAAAGAGCTCCTGGTGTCAGCCCCTTTCCCATTGGTCTTCCCCATGTCACCTGCACACCGGAGGCTGAGTTCTTTTCAGATGGAAAAAAAAAATGCTAAGTGTCACCTCATGGGGAGGCTGACCTTGACCATATCAGAGTCACCTTATGATTCCTTCCCTTCATCTCCCTTCTCTATCACCCAATATGTCTCCATCTTAATCAGCCATGTTGGGACTAGACACTCACAGAGCTGCATTTGCAGCAACCCACTGTGGAGGAGTCTCTGGAATTCAAAATTCATTGGACCAGGGGAAGGAAAACATAAGACTAGAAGACAGGACACAAAGCAAGGGAACTGTGCGCCATCTCTGAGGCAGACTGAGTGGCTACAAGAGCACAGGGGTGGCCACGTTGTGTCCACTCAGACCACTGGAGACAGAAGCTCATTGTGCAGCAGGGGAGGCTTCTGTTAGAAGAAAGAACTCACCAAGGTTTGCGGAGAGGTGAGATACTAAGAAGCTGTGGGTCCTCAGCCCTGCAGATCTTGAAAAACAGAGGCAACACCCCTGTGTCCAAAACTCCAGCCAGAGCTGAACTGAATCCAAACCAGACCCTATGACCTCTGACCGAAAGCACCTGAAGTCTGCACCAGAGAAATTAGCACTGGATCCATTCTTTTAACATTACCAAGCACCGTCCTGTGCTGGGCCCTGGGGTCTACAGTGGCCAAGAAGCCCACCTGGAGCACGAAGGACCCTGTAATCGAGGGGAGACAGTACCTTATAACTGACAACAACATGAAGCAGAAACCGGCGAATGGTGTAACAGGCACAGAAATCTGCTCTGGGACCGCCACCGGCCAATGATACCGACCAAAACAATCAATACAGAATACCAGTGCTGCATCGTTAAGAGTTTACACGCGTTATTTGGTGTGATCCTCACAGCAGCCTTAAAAGGCAGTCATCGCCCTGGCTGGGTGGCTTCACTGGTTGGAGCGTCCTCCCATACATCTCGAGGTTGCCGGTTGGATTCCGGGTCAGGTCAGGGCACATACCTAAGTTGCAGGTTCAATCCCCCATAGGGACGGTAGGGGAGGCAATCAATCGATGTTTCTCTCTCACATCATCATCATCATCATCTCTCTCTCTCTCTCTCTCTCTCTCTCTCTCTCTCTGTCTATGGAAATATGTCCTCGGGTAAGGATTTAAAAAAAAAAAAAAAAAAAAAAGCCTTGGCCCTAACCGGTTTGGCTCAGTGGATAGAGCATCGGCCTGCAGACTCAAGGGTCCCAGGTTCGATTCTGGTCAAGGGCATGTACCTTGGTTGCGGGCACATACCCAGTGGGGAGTTTGCAGGAGGCAGCTGATCGATGTTTCTCTCTCATCGATGTTTCTAACTCTCTATCCCTCGCCCTTCCTCTCCGTAAAAAATTAGTAAAATATATATATTTTTAAAAAGGCCTTCATCATCATCATCATCATCATCATCATCCCCATTTTGCCTATGAAGAAAGGGAGGCTTGAGCGGTGACATTCGCTCAAGGTCACAGCCGGTGCGGTGTGAACAGGGGCGAGCCACAGCGGGACTGGCCAGAGGGGGTGACCCTCGAGCATCTCCCGCGACGGTCGGCTCTCCGCCTTCCTAACGACGGCCCTCTCCGCCCTCCCCGACCCT